TCCGAGTACACCCCAGTTACCCCAGTGTGGTCCCAGTCACCCCCAGTGTGCTCCCAGTCACTCCCAGTACACCCCAGTTACCCCAGTGTGCTCCCAGTCACTCCCAGTACACCCCAGTTACCCCAGTGTGGTCCCAGTCACCCCCAGTGTGCTCCCAGTCACTCCCAGTACACCCCAGTCACCCCAGTGTGCTCCCAGTCACTCCAGTGTGGTCCCAGTTACCCCAGTGTGCTCCCAGTCACCCCCAGTACACCCCAGTTACCCCAGTGTGCTCCCAGTCACCCCCAGTACACCCCAGTTACCCCAGTGTGGTCCCAGTCACCCCCAGTGTGGTCCCAGTCACTCCCACTGTGATCCCAGTTACCCCCAGCGTGGTCCCAGTCACTGCCAGTACACCCCAGTTACCCCCAGTGTGCTCCCAGTCACCCCCAGTGTGGTCCCAGTCACTCCCAGTGTGATCCCAGTTACCCCCAGCGTGGTCCCAGTTGTTCCCAGTGTGATCCCAGTCACTCCCGGTATAATCCCAGTCACTCCCAGTGCGATACTAATAATTCCCAGTATAGTCCAGTTACTCCCAGCATGGTCCCAGTCACTCCCACTGTGATTCCAGTCCCCCCCAGTCCAATCCCAGTCCAACCCCAGTCCCTCCCAGTCCAATCCCAGTCCCTCCCAGTCTGATCCCAGTGACTCTCAGTGTGATCCCAGTCCCCCCCAGTCTCTCCCAGTCCAATCCCAGTCCTTCCCAGTCCCTCCCAGTCTGATCCCAGTCCAATCTCAGTCCTTCCCAGGCCCTCCCAGTCCAATCCCAGTCCCTCCCAGTGACTCCCAGTTTGCTGCAGGGCGATCCCAGGCCCTCCCAGTCCCTCCCAGTCCCTCCCAGTGGCTCCCAGTATTTCCCAGTTTGTGGCAGGGCGATCCCAGGCCCTCCCAGTCCAATCCCAGTCCCTCCCAGGCCCTCCCAGTGGCTCCCAGTGACTCCCAGTTTGCTGCAGGGCGATCCCAGTCCCTCCCAGTGGCTCCCAGTGACTCCCAGTTTGCGGCAGGGCGATCCCAGTCCCTCCCAGTCCGATCCCAGTCCCTCCCAGTGACTCCCAGTTTGCTGCAGGGCGATCCCAGGCCCTCCCAGTCTGATCCCAGTCCCTCCCAGTCCCTCCCAGTGACTCCCAGTTTGTGGCAGGGCGATCCCAGTCCCTCCCAGTGGCTCCCAGTGACTCCCAGTTTGCTGCAGGGCATCCCAGTCCCTCCCAGTCCGATCCCAGTCCCTCCCAGTGGCTCCCAGTGGCTCCCAGTGACTCCCAGTTTGCTGCAGGGCGATCCCAGTCCCTCCCAGTCCCTCCCAGTGGCTCCCAGTGACTCCCAGTTTGCTGCAGGGCGATCCCAGTCCCTCCCAGTCCCTCCCAGTGACTCCCAGTTTGTGGCAGGGGG